CTTTTTCCCGTTCCTTTTTAAGGTCTTTGTTGTCGCATGGATTTGTAACAACTTGTAACAACATCATTAACATAGCTAATACATAAATTAAAATGATACATGACGATAACATGAGAATTTTTATTAATTATTGAGTGGTCGGTGTGTTGTAACCGAGGTGAAACTACTACAAGGTTATGAAAAGATCTCCCTCCCTCCACTAAGGGAATTTCAGGCTATATATAGTAACTTTTACGTTGCACGTTGTTCGAAATCTCCCATAATTCAGGATTGGTGCAAAAAGTAATTTTAGTTGGGCGGTTAGGACGGTCGGACCCACAATCATCATGACGTTGGGCACGAAACGTAAGAAGGTCGCGTAGGCGCCTTGTCATCTGCTTCGTTATTGATGAATTCAGTAACCTCTAAGGTATTGTATAACGTTGGTAGGCAGTTCGCGTCGGTAGACGACGAAAGGAAGTCGGGAATTCGGTGACAGCTTGAAGTCGAAGAGAACTTAGGAAGTCGGTAGGAAGGCGCAGTTCCGAGGTTGTGTATCATTGGTAAAAGAGGAGAGTTTCTGGAACCATCCGACGTTTTCATCATTTATTTTGAATAGTGGTCATAATGGTTGCATTATTCATAACTTCAATTTGATCTCGGGGAGTTACCAAGTCAGTGGTCAACAGAGAGGCCCCCGGCGCTAGTAGGTATACGAAGGTGATAGCTGCTAGCGTCGTCAAAAAGTTTCTGAATCCGACTTGGGAATTAATTTTGACATTGGTTTTCTTCACTGTCACTGTATCCCGAGGTATCAATACTTAGCGAAGTTTGAGCTTATATATCTTAATGAAAATGTGTAACATATCGATAGAGGAACGCTGTAACAGTCATAGACGAAAGTCTTTAAATTGACGGCTCGTGAAAAGACGCGCAAGCATTGAAGAGGTACAACAGATATGTATGTAGACTGACGCGTGGCACGACGTTATTCGATATAAACGAAAAAGCGAGGAGTCGCGTCGTTTGGAAGTCACGTGTGTGCTCACGCGGCCCAAATTTGTATAGTAACGGTCACAATAGAAGGGTATAAATACCGAGACTTAGAATTAATTTAGGTTTTCACCTTTACTTTCATCTTTCATTTGCAATTTCTGCCTTCTTTGCTTTGCTTTCACTTCAGATTTTCTCACGCATAGGCCAAAATTCACCTACCGTTTTTTGTACACTCAGTCGATCGATACCGCGTGCTCTATTTCGTTGGTTGACTTCGGGGTAAGCTACTATCTTGGTTAATTTACTGTTCTAAGTCTTTATTCGCCTCGCATATTTTTTTCTTCTTCGTACAATGGCATCTTCGACGAGAAGTGAAGAGGCGTCTAACAGTAGGACGGTTTCTGAAGAGACAGTTATAGTGGATTCCGAGTTGGTGGAACTGCTATTCGAGTATTATCGATGGGATTCGATGCTCGTGGAACACCTTAAGATAGAACCGAATAGTGTCGAAGAAGATAAAGAAACTGAGAAGAGGGCGATGTCTGTAATAAATAATTGGAGAAGGCCGATTAGGGTATGGCCGGATGTGAAAATCAACTTTTGGGGGAGCCAATTATATTGACCGATGCTGACGTAGTTCTTCTGCGTGAGCAGATTCGGGTGCCAGCTTCGGTTAAGCTCTTTGCGCCTTACCCCGATGAGAGAATTACTTGTCATCCACTGGGTTGTGTGGGTGTTTTTGCCGACATCCTGAGGTCGGGGCTAAGATTTCGCTTCCGAACATAATCACCGAGTATTTGCGAGATTGGGGGTTAAGCATTTGTCAAATAACCCCCAATAGTTGGAAGAGGATCATCGGATTAATAGTCCTCATGAGCGAGAAAGGCTGGGGAGCGCTATGTCGGGATTATATAAGGAGTATATACTCCTTCAAGAAGAGTTTGGGGATGAAAGTCGTTGAATCGTCGTGTTGTTTCTTTGCCGGTGGAAGACCGCAGAAGGACTTTAAGATTAGTGAGTTGGTGAGGGAGATCCCCGAGACCCTCCATGGATTTCAAGAGGAGTGGTTATGGGTCGGAGGGGAGTGGCAGTCGGATGCATCTGTCCATGGTCCTCTTATCGATGGGATGACTATTCCCATGAAAATCATTTCCGAATTCCGTAAGTCTTTGTCCATTGATCGTATATCTTCGGACAATTTGTTATTCTTTTGTACTAACAGGTTGGAACTGTTTCGTATTTGTAGCCAAAAGAAAGAAAGAACCGAAGCTTACTCCTGAATTTGAAGGACGACTGTTGGAGCTCTTCCAAATTGACGAAAAAAATAGCAGTTATACAAGCTTGGTTGAAGAATCAGAGCTCGAATTCGCAGAACTAACTGTTAAGGCTAAAGAGTTAGTTTCTACATTTGACCCAGGTACGAAATTGCGTATTTTCTGAGTTTCCAATACGATGTACAAGGTTTATGTTGATGTTGTGTATAAACTTCTCACATTTAACTCTTTTCCGAATGCAGTTTACTATCCTCTTCTCGGACACTCAGGGTACGGAAATATTGGGGACGCCAAAGACTTTAGGCGACGATTTTCGAATAAAGAGTTATTGTCAAAGTTCGATAAGAGTCGTGCGCAGAGGCTTACTGACACCATGAGGAGAAATTTGGTTCGTGCTTTTTGCAAAGGTGTTGTTGAGCGCCAGGCTATCGAGGTCGGAGCAGGTGCGACCTCGGTAATCAACTTAGAGAGCCCAGAACGTGAACAAGTGGTTGAGACGACGGCAAAAGGTATCACTGCCAATATCGAGACGTCCAACCCAGTGGTACCGGAAGGCCCCGAGAATAATGAACAGACATTTGTTCGGTCTCTGTCTATTCTTGAGGATACCGAGGTCCCCAAGATTGCTGAAACGACTGCTATTATTGAGACGCCGAGGGAGGAACAAGGTACCCGGTCAAAGAAAAGAAAGCTGAAGAAGAAATATGTTGAAGAAACTGCTGCAAGTGCCGAAAAGAGGTCCAAGAAAAGGCACGATCGAGGCCATAAATATAAGGGCAAGGAGAAGGAAGGCGAAACTTCGCTGTTAATTGACATGGCTTTTCTCTCAATTGATGAGGAGAGGGAAGCCAATTTTAATTTACCGAAGGGAACCGTGGAGGATTGGTATTCAACTTTCCAGTCAGTTAGAGTCCCTCGTATTACTTCAAAGACTAACTTGCCTGATCACATGATCGATGCAACTCGGGTCTATGATGGCGTGGGACCCGAGATCGGAGATAAGAGTGTCATCATTGCCGAGCATTCACAAACTCGGGTACGCCAAGGCGAGTTTAGGGTGTGCTTTAATCTCTCTCATTATGGCTAAAGATGAGTACCGACTGAACGCAGCCCAGCTGAATGAGAATAAGAATACTCTCGAAAAGCGAGATGAGATGGTGGTTGCCTTGAAAGAAGAATCTGCCAAGTCTGAGGCGGCATTGAAGGATAAGTTGGCTGAGCAGGAGGCTCAGATTACCGGAGCTCAGAGTGAGATAGCGACCTTCTCCGAGGAGAACGGTCGGTTGAAGACTGAGGTGCAAACCTTGACGGATCAATTGGCGATGTTCGAGCACAAGGCAAAATTGCTCGAAGAAAGTCTGCAAGAGTGTGAGACTAAACTGCAGAAGGAAAGAGTCGAGCACCAGGAGACTCGGAAAGATCAGCTCGAGAAGCAATCTGATTTTATCCGAGTTCGAGAGGCTCACACCACCGAGGTGGCGAAATTTGATGATGAAAAGATGGCATTCGGAAAACTAAAGTTTGAAGATGGCTTTTTGGCAGGGAAGGAGGCAGGTGCGGTTGCTGTCGAGTAAGAAACCGCGAAGGAGACCGATAAAGCTGTGGATGATGAACTCAACGAGAATGTGGAAGGGCCGGACCTGGATCTGGAGATGAATACTTGTATCAATCTCCGTTGGATGATCGAGCGTTGCGAGCACGGGTATTATGATTTTCATGACTTGCGAGTCATGCTTTTCTGCAAACTCGCCAAATATGGATTTGACCTCGAGATCAAAGGCACGCATATTCCCGCCGATGAAGATGAGCGGGAGTATTGTGAGTGGCGCCTTGGCCGATTTGAAGCTATGTATGATAATCCCAACTTTCTTCCTCTCTCTGAAGATCGCGCGAAAGCCCTTCGCCGAGCATA